CTGACATTATGGAAGCATTTGCTTGGTTGAGGTTCTCTCCTCTCAGATGACTTCAGTTTGGCTAAGTTTACATAGAACTAGCTAGCACAGGGTCTCTCATTGACCTGGGACATCACCAAATATGCCAAGTTGGCAATTCAGTGAACATCCAGGATCTATGTCTCTCTGCCTCCTCAGTACTGGGATTACAAGTGTGACAGGACACTCAGCTTTTTTGTTGTTGTTGTTTTTAATAAGCTGTTTTTAAATTATTTCATTGTTTCATGTACATATATGTACTTTTTTGTTGTTTTTCACCCCAGTTTGCCCTATTCATCTCTCTCTCACACTCAGGATTAAATCCTTCTTCCAACAAGATTTCCTCAAACCACATTCATGATTTTGTTTGACTCACCTAGTTTAGTTAGTTTCTTATAAGAGCATGAATGGAAAATTGAGCCAGAGTAACATCAATTGCTAACTAAACCTTATCACATTGCTCAACAAATATTGGATATTACTAGTCTTGGAGGGACAGTTAGGGCCTTGTGGAGCCATCCCCAACCATGAAAAAAATGTTGAGAGCCCCAATGTTGTGCAATTCTTCTGGAAACAATCACATCCAATGAGTCTATGAGTTCAGCAGCTATGTCATGTCTGGAAGATGTGTGTTGCTTCCCATCACTCTGTGTTTTGGTGCTTGTGTTCTTTCCATGCCCTGTTCCATGAAGCCCTTGCACCTTCCAGAGGCTAACAAAGTCTTCCTATTCTGAGCTGCACGCTCCATTTTCATTCATCATTAGGCCTGTGATGACTTACAGGTTTTGTTTGTTTTTAATTAATTACCATCTGTTGCAGTTAAAAAGTTCTGTGATAGAATCTAGGGATATCACTAAACTGTCTGTATAATTGTGAGTATTTATAGGACAATTTTATAATATTACCATTGAGCAAAAAATGGTGGTAGGTTTCCCCCTACAACTTGTGACCAAGTCAGCCATGCATTGTTGACTAATTTGAGAGGGGGAGGTATGAGTTCTCATCTGTGGAGCGGAACCCCAATCCAATCACAAAGTGGCTGGTTACCCCCCCCCATTATCCTCTTACCAGTCATGTCACTATTGCACCAGAGGGCCCACCTTGTCTGTCAGGTAATTATTATTGCTCACAGGACTCACATCTGGGTAAGACAGTTGATAACTTTTCTTCCCACAGACAGCATAACACATTCTCTCACTGGAAATGCCAGCCAATATGGAAGAAGCTTTCAGCTCAGCACCATATTGATTTCTTCATAGTCGATGACCAAACTGAGTGCTTCAGCAGGATAAAGCCTTGCCATCGGTTTTGAGTGTGTTTGATAGTGGGGTTTTAAATAACAATGGCCCCACAGGCTTGGCTTACATATTT